AAAGTATGTCCTGACATTACGTTTCCTTGCAATCTCCTATATGATGCACAAATCTCTTTCATTTAGAAACATTGTTCTGGAGAATGGCTCAGAAGAGGGTAAAATCAAGGCACCGAAACCCATGAAAACAGGCACCACCATTGCTGGAGTGGTTTATAAGGTAACCAGAATATCAAAACTTTTTGTAATTTGTTACATATTGTCTGTCAGACTAAACATGTGCGTGTGTATAGGATGGTGTAGTTCTGGGAGCAGACACAAGAGCCACCTCTGAAGAAGTAGTGGCAGATAAAATGTGTGCCAAGATTCACTACATTGCACCTAACATATAGTAAGTAACAGTAAGGATTAAAAAATGGAATGTCAGATGTACATCATTTATAAAGCAAATAATTATAAAACTTATTCAAAACCATTCTATGTTATTCTTGTTAGTTGTTGTGGAGCAGGGACAGCTGCGGATACTGAGAAGACAACAGATATGCTGTCGTCAAACCTCACCATTTTCTCCATGAACAGCGGCAGGAACCCAAGAGTCGTCATGGCCGTTAACATACTACAAGACATGCTCTTCAGGTGTGTGCAGACTGTGTTATTATCTTCACCTGTTATCACACAAACATTGCGCGATCATGTATGTTTGTTTGTACCATTGAAGCATAAGGCTGTGTTTTATGTGATATCTCTCTCTAATGTTGATAATGTTTCTCAGGTATCGAGGTATGATTGGAGCTCATCTCATTTTAGGGGGTGTTGACTGCACTGGCAGTCACCTGTACACGGTTGGCCCTTATGGGAGCATGGACAAGGTGCCGTATCTAGCCATGGGTACGTGACATCCAATTGATGAATGATCAACTTATTAGTTAAGAATGTGCTAATTGAGATCAATATGCATTTCTATTGGATGAAAATATATGCACATTTAACTGATTTTCAAAAAGCTGTAGTCTTGAATGTTCACAGTGGAAATTCATACAAGAGATTTGTTTGCATATATGTGATCAGTTCTCAAGTGAATAATCACAGCTATGTTTCTGCGTTTTAAGGATCTGGTAAACTGCCTGCTATGGGGATACTGGAGGACAGATTCAAAGGAAACATGGATGTAAGTTGCTTTTTTGTTAAAACCTCCTTATTGTACGTTTACTATTGTCGATATTACTGTTCCTGTAGCTCAAGGTGAAGTAAAATGCAAGGTATTTTCTACACTCAATAAGTTGGTTCAAGCATTTAAGGGGTCATGCATTGCATTTTTAATTATTTGATAATGTTTCCTGAGGTGCACTTATAATGTTAGTATGATTTTTACATCAAATATTGTCATAATTTAGAAATAAAAAGCCATTTTCTACCCTGATTTTAGTCCTCTGATTTGAACGTTCTCTTGGAAGGGGCGTGTTGAGCTCTCTCAAAAACCTTTACTACGTTTTTTCTATTTCAGCTGTTGAGATGAACTAATCATGGAGAGTGTTGATTATAGCATTATATTTAGATCTACTCCCGTCGCATGAAAGGCTGCAGCGATGAGCATTGTAGCCGATGACAGACTGTTGAGCGCATGAATGCATGCTCTCGTCATTGCAACACGAGTTTCACACTTTCACAAATGCTTTCATCATAACTAATAGTGCAAACGCGATGTAAAGGTAGCGTTCTTTGATCGCTTTCTGTATATAATTTAAGATTAGGCATTAGAATGAACACGATCACTTAGCCTATATGTTGTGGTATTACTGTCAGGTCCATATCTTACAGTAAAAGTCTATTTGCAAAGCCTGCACTGAAACTGCCATCTGATTTACCAAAGAACCCACAGTGAAATGTACTGAACAAACATAATGCTCTGCTGAGACATCCACGTAGTTAAAAATAAATAATTACTTTCCTAGGATTAGGATCCTTTGGAAGGTAACGTTTTTTTAGTCCAGTTATCCTTTATTGCTCTTCTCTCCTTCTCATCTCACTAACACTCCAGTGGGCGGGGCCAAAGACGTGATGATGTAGAAGTAGGCGTTGATCTGATTCTGCAGAGGCGGGCTTTCGTTGCACTATTATGTCATAAT